ACAGTGAGGAAAGGGGCACAACCTCATATTTGTTCTCTTTGCCTCTAGACATAGGGTCTTAGGTGATGGAAGTAATGAGTCACCCATTTTTGCATAGTAGGCAAAACCACGTGCAAAAGCACTTTGATGTGAACGTATCTCTAATAACCGGCAGAACTTCAGTGCATTTACTTTATGAGATCCAAGATGTCACACAGTATCTTTCAATTACCCCGGGACGTTGTGCTCCACAATGTGAAGGTATCTTAGCAATGCAATCTCCACAACATTCAGTGGTAAAGACCCCTCTTCCCACTAGAGTATTTCTTCAGGAGGCACTAGTGTCACTCTATAGCACGGGAGAGTTTTGCTTAACTAAAATTGCATCCACTGCAGGTAGGTTTTCAGTTCAGTTCCTCCAAGCGCAGTATCTACAGGGCTCTCCTGGTGTACCTTCAGTACATAGTACATACAAATAATCTTCTGATAGTCAAACACAATCTTGAGCAATGGAACTCAACAATCCATCTTTACCTTCAGTTGCCTCAGTCAGTTTGGTTTCCCAGGATGTTACCAGCCGAATGCTCACAAGGCTTTCCTAAATCGTAAGACATGACATCCAGTCTCCTTCTCAGCGCCCAGGCAGCCCAAGCTCCTCAACCACCTGGAGATCATCTGACTGCCCACATGAAGGTGTTTGAGAAGGTTTTGCTCTGCTTTTGACAGAACTAAACTAACTGTTAACGGAAAAAGTGCTTATCAGCAGAATTAATTTCACAGACAGGGAAGGTGAGGGAAAGGAAGAGATATGTCTCTGTTTTTAACTGAAAGACAAAAAGTCAGATTAAATGGCAATATAAGAATGCTGACAATCCCCTCAGGAGAAAGCAATTCCCATAACTGAGGACCCTACACTGGAAAGATCTGATGAGTTTGCTGTAGAGCTAGGCTCAAAGAGTATGAACACATCTAGCCTGTCAGAAACATGCAGAGGGATCTAAAGAGATCTAAAGAGTTCTAAAGCTGTGTAGGGCCTCTAGAAATCCTGAGGTATTGAGGGGCATGTTCTTGTGTGGGTTTGTGTGTGTGCATGTGAAACGCGCACCAGGACGATCAGAGACAATCATTGGCAATGTATTTAAGGAAAGAGCTGTTCCTAAAGCCAAATGGGAAGGAAAAGGAAAAAGACAAGAAGGCTGAATCACAGAATGGCCTAGGCTGGAAGGGACCTTAGAGATCATTTAATCCAACCTCCCTGTCGTGGGCAGGGAGGCCTCTCAACTAGATCAGGCAACGCATGGGGACCAAATGGGGATTGAACCCACGACCTTGGTGTTTATCAGCACCACACTCTAACTGACTGAGCTAACCAGGCTGAGATCAGTGAGAAAGCACTACAATGTCTACACGCTAGAGAACAGATTCTGAGCAAATGACGAAGGAACTAGAGCTACTAGCATAGAACAAAAGTGATTCCTTTAAAGGTCATAGAGGAGGAAAGAGCAAGCAATCATGCTAAGAATACAGATGAATAATTTCAGGAGCCCAAGATAAAAAAGGTAAAGGTGATTAAACAGCATTGTGTCTTAATTGTGTGATAGAATTGGTTTGGATTGGTTAAAAATAAATAAATAGGGCAGAATGAATAGACAAGGCAGGAACTTCACTGCCAATGGAATTAATTATGCTAGGAGTTAAGCCATGTCTAAATCTGTAATTAAGGAGGTATTCTTGGGAAATAGGTTTTCACAGCAAATCTCCAAATTTAAGATGCAGCATTATGCTAAGTATAGGAAGTCATTATTTCTGTGTGGGTTGGATTTCTTTACTAGTCACTAAAATAGAGGGAGATGTAATTTAGATCCTGTTTTGATAATTAGTCTTAGATTTAATGATCACATATTGATTCAGTTAGACAAAGAAAGCACAAAGTCACTCTATAATTCACGTTTTATTTCAAAGTGTACGTTTTGAGAAGCTAAGAGAAATCTACTGAACCAAATTTTTCACAGAAAAAAAAGCATGAAGAAGCTTGGAGTATTTCACAGAATCACAAAGTGATTGAGGTTGGAAGGGATGTCTGGAGGTCATCTTGTCCAACCTCCTGATCAAGCAAGGCCACCTAGAGCCAGTTGGCCAGAACTTCTGAATTTCTCCAAGGATACAGACTCTACAATCTCTCTGGGCAACCTGTGCCCACATCCAGTAACGTTCACAGCAAAAAAGCTTTTCCTGATGTTTAGGAGGAACCTCCTGTGTCACTTTGTGCCCCTTGCCTCCTGTTCTGAAGTTAAAAGTTTCAAGTCAAAAAGTGAGAAAACCACAACAGAAGCCAAACCCTTCCTGAGCTCCAAACCAGACAAAAGCAAGCCAACAAATAAATACCAACAAGCTCCAGACCAGAAGGACAAGCAGATGAGAATAAGTTTCAGATTTTACTTACCGATATTGATCTTCAAAGAACATCTCTCTTCTTTCCATTTCTTGTTGTCTTTTTTTCTTTTCAAGTCTCTCTGCCTACAGCATTAAAACCAAGAAAACATACCTGAGATTTCCAACAAGTCAGAAACAAACACTCATTATTTCAATTCAGGTATTTCAATATTCTCGTTTTTAAAACAACTATAGTAGCAGTCGAATACAGAAGTGATTCAATCTCAAGTTTAAAAGAATTCAGACATAACCGAACAGCTCCTAGTCAAGAGACGAATATCACAGAATCACAGAATGTCAGGGGCTGGAAGGGACCTCAAAAGATCATCTAGTCCAGCCCCCCTGCCAGAGCAGGATCACCTACAGTAGGTCACACAGGGACACGTCCAGGCGGGTTTTGAATGTCTCCAGAGGAGGAGACTCCACAACTTCTCTGGGCAGCCTGTGCCAGTGCTCTGTCACCCTCACAGGGAAAAAGTTTTTCCTAATATTTGTATGGAATCTCCTATGTTCCAGCTTGCACCCACTGCCCCTTGTGCTGTCATTGGACACTGCTGAAAAGAGCCTGGCTCCATCCTCCTGACACTCGCCCTTGACATATTTATAAACATTAATAAAGTCACCCCTTAGCCTCCTCTTCTCCAAGCTAAAGAGACCCAGCTCCTTCAGCCTTTCATCTTAAGGGAGATGTTCCACTCCCTTCAGCATCTTTGTGGCTCTGCGCTGGACTCTCTCAAGCAGTTCCCTGTCTCTCTTGAGCTGAGGGGCCCAGAACTGGACACGATATTCCAGATGTGGCCTCATCAGGGCAGAGTAGAGGGGCAGGAGGACCTCTCTCGACCTACTAGCTACTCCCCTTCTAATACACCCCAGGATGCCATTGGCCTTCTTGGCTATGAATATGAAATAGAAAACCACATCGTGCTCCTGGCAGATCCACCTATCGTGGCCTTGGGAAGGTCATGTGAGCCTTCACAGCTCTCATGCCATTGCACTGTTGGGGCCATCCCTTGGTATAACTGATGCAATATCAGTCCTAATAAGAATGCAGATGACGTGAGCCACCACATCAAGGCACATGACAGTCTTACAGCACTCAAAGTGCAGTGATATGAGTACACGTAGCTCTGCCCATAGATCCGTGGCCTTCATGAGCATTAGGTAGTGGGCAGTCGAATATATGTAAGATGGGTAAAAGTGGGAGACATTTGTACTTAATCAGTGTTATTCTGCCTCAGATACCACGCCCAGTGTAAGAGTCAACCAAAGCCTTGACACACAAAACTCCTCTGGATGCCATACAAGTAAGTAGTCAAGTCCCTTAAAATAAAATTGCATATAATTTCCAGTGGAAGGGTTGTCTAAGCTGCCCTACCCCTGGAATTCAATAAAAATAAATTTAAAATAAATTAAAATGAAAATTTAATTAAAATAAAGCAGAAACTAGAAAACTTCATGCAACATCAATATGTAGCTCAAGCTAAATTCCAGTCTAAGGGACGTCAAATTTTTTTTGACACACAGGCTGTAGGTTAGTCCAGGGGGAAGAGCAGTTAAAAGGCAGTTCAGTGTATTAAAAGCACAGATCAGAAGTGCCAAACTGGGATTCAGCCTTGCTACATTTTGAGCATAACCTCCCACACTACAGTTAGTTGAGGGGGGTGCTCCAACAAGAGCTCCCACCTGAGGTTCACAATGACTAGCACGGTGAGTAAACTGCAACCTTGGACTCTCTCCCTGCTCATTGCCCGCTCTAAAAATAAAAAAAAAAGTAATTGTTTGGTAACCCAGTAACCAGACATTGCTCTAAATGAAATGCCCTCGAAATTTCAGACAATACCTTGCAGAGATGCGAAGAGAGATGTAGGTGGGAGTGGCCCAGTTGGTCAGAGTCCCAAATCAGGGAGAGGATGCTACTTGGATGGGAGAGGTATTATGCAAGGCCAGGTAGAATGTGTGTGTGTGTGTTTAAGGGGGAAAACGGTGTAAAGAACAGGACTGTAACTCTCACTTCCATTATTTTCTTCCTGTTCTGCAATCAATAACATTTCAGAAAAATTACAGTTCTACTGGCAGTTACTCAATTACTTTGCCTTCAGTGATTTCAGGGTGGGTACTTTTTAATTGGATGAAGAATGACTGTCTGGAACAGATTTGCAAAACAAGTGCAAAATCCTTCTCGGCATGTATTGAATTAAGAAAAAAAAATACTATTATATGTCTGCAGATAGGAAAAGAGACACTATGTTGTGTAACTGTGTAAACTGTTGGAAGGCAAATGACTTTGGAGTCGTTATTTGGAAAAAGGCAATGGGAAAATAAACAAAAGGAGGAAGACAAATCTCTGAATAACATGTCCCATTGCTGTGTCATTTGACATGTTGAGACAGTGGTAGAATGTATGAAGTACTGATGCAAAAAAAAAGTAATGAAACTAAAGTAAGGAATACCACCCCACAGAATAGGTGAATTTTGACATTGTTCAAAGGATATCTTGTGTGCTCCTAACACCTCTACCCAGAGATAGATGATTTTTTTAGGCAAGATACTCCCACACATCTCTGCAATCTAGCAATTTACAGGAAAGGAAAGGAAAGGAAATAGGAAGAAAGGATGTCGGATGGCATCCTGTATTGTCAGAGGTGATGTTGTAATAGAGACACCAACAATAGTTTTCAGGCTTTTCCCCACCACTGCTCAGCACTGCAAACTGCTGCCTTCACTTCTGAAAAAGCATTTGACATGGCATCCACCATCATATTGCAAGGCTCCTTAAAGTTCAAATCCAAAGCTCACCAGAGTTGTTGTGGCCTAGCTCCTAGCTAAAAACCCCACAGTGCTATTAACTTTGATAAACACAATCCTTCAACATTATCCTCATATCCAAAGAGATGAAAATTCCCTACGAGCTATTATATCACCAGAATGGTTCTTGAAGAAAACTCCAGCATATTGAAATTATTTACTTGTGGCTGCTGTGCCTGTTTTCTACTCTGGAGACCCCTGGGACCCCTGCTTAGGATGCATACATGTGACAGGCAATGGGACTGGGACTTTCTCTAACTAATGACAGTCTATCAATAGACACTGCCAAAGCACTCCACATTTGGCACCATCTTCAGAAACAAAGCCAAGAGTGGAACAGCTGCGATATTGAAGGTAAACATGTTGAAAAGCATTAGCAGAAGGTCTATAAAGAGACCAGTTTTAACAAATTCCTGAAAAAGGCCATGCGTGCTGATTAACACAGTCAAATTAAGAAGCACATGATTTGATAAAGAATAAAATGAGATTACAGTTTATTCTAAATAGGACAGATTCTAAAGATGACACGACTGTTACTATGTAATGTAAGAGCAAAAGAAAGCTACATGCAATAGAATTACACTGAACCTTTTCACTTCAGATCTTTTCAATATTTTTGTACTTAGTCAAGATTTAGAATTTACAAGGAAAAGCTAAAGGCAGAGTAACAGGAACAGAGATTGAATGACAGGAAATAGAAATATCCAGTGCACTGAAGTTATGCTATTATGTGTGCAGCACAAATGCAGAAAGCTTAAAACCCCAAGAAGTCAAGTATTAGTCACTTGCTTATTTTCTTGGGACTTGACAGTCCTTTCACCCAAAGGAGACAAAGGAAGTTATGGTTTGGTCTGGTCAAATTCTGTGATGTGAAGGGCTGCACAAAAGATACCCAACTGTGGATGTCTGCTCCTAAGGAGCAAATAATAACAGTCCGTTCTGTGTACTCCCCTCACTTTCTGCAGATTAGACACGCATCTCAGGACTAGGGGTGAATACAGAAATAGGGACTCCCACGCTAACGTAACAAAGTCTCTCCAAAATGATTTCAACGAGCGCTCAGAGATCACTAGCTTAGAAGAATATCTAAACTCAGGCAGCACAGGGTTATCCCAGGAACAAATCAAAGCAGTCCCAGGACAAGCTGCCTAACATGGAGCATGTGGGATGCCATTCACTGCTAAAAATGGAGACCCAAGTGTTGGTTCACACAAACTGCTCCAGTGAAACACAGACTGAGGAAGGAGGATCCATCTTTCTTCACTCTGGGAGCTGGAGAGAGATAAGGTAGATGCCAAGAGCACTGGTAACTCAGCACCAAAGCTCATGGTTAATTAACAAATGACAGAGACAGGCAGGTGGACTCACATGGATGGTAAGGCAGACCTTCCATAATTGGGTACTGCTTTGGCAGACACCCAGTTTTCTCTTGGTCACAAAGATAAGGGGAGAGTGAATACTGCTTTTCTCTGCAAAAGCAGCATTAAAGTATTAACATAAACAGATCTGACACTCATGAGCAGCACTTGCTTGCAGTACATCACCCTTAAAATCAAGGAAGAACTGAGCTGAGGTACCAGAATCCATTCTAGTTATTGTATATTAGTCTGTAGGGCTTCACCATTCACGTCTGTTGGCAAAGTAGGTCTCACGCTGTGAAAGTCTCAGGGCCCCTGCTGATAAAGCTGGCTAGCCATTATCTCCTTTCGGACTGTCAGACAATTTAGTTTTTATTGAATGAATAACAACCTCGAGCAAAAAAAGGACTGGCCAGCAAGAAAAGAAGATGGCTTGTGAATCTGCAGAAAGACATGCTCTCAGCACGCCCTGCAGGTGCAGTTGTCTACAAATCTATCACTTTAGGAAAGAAAGTTCCTCTCCTGTGGTAACCAGGGCCCAATATTTTTCATACAGTATGAGTTCTTTTGGATCCTTTTCCTCTCATTCTCAGCTCCCAGGAGCCTTTCACCTGCAGGCAGGGTGAGATATCCAGATCAACACCTTTTATTGGCTTTCCAGCATGCTTTTCTTAAACACAGATTTGAATTTTTTATATGTAAATATCTTCCAAGCAGAAATCTTCATCAGTTCAATCCCTATTGTGGAAGACAATTGGAATAAACAAATTCAAATTAAGAGTTCCTTTTCATGGTCCTCTGCTCTGTTTGCTTGCTTTGTGGGTATATGTTTATTTATTCAAATTAAACAGTCTGTTTGGCAAAGATGTTTGCCATGATATTATATTCTCCTTTAGAAGAAACTGATAGTTAGAGTTTACTATCTACAACATCTATAAAGATTTTATAATCTGTGGGAGTGATGGTAAGGAAATTAAAGACCATGAAAACAAAACTGATACATCAATATATTTTCTAGATGTAATTATAAATTATAGCAGTCTTGCAACATTTTTCTTGTCCAATGCCCACAGGTGAACAACGTATATTTAACAGCTGAATAGAGTATAATTAATCCCCTTTCTGCCATTGACATCATCACTGCTTTTGGAGCTATGGTACATATGCTGGTAACTGTTAATGATATTTTCACATGAAAAATATGTATTGCCCCTGTGAGTTGTTATATATGGGCTTATCCTCAGAAAGTAATGCTAGCTGCTGAAAGACTGGGAATAGACTACCATTTCTTACAGGCAATTAAGGCTATTTTTGTTTATGCATGCCCCTGTATGCCATTCAGTAGTAATGATTTTTTTTTAAATTAACCCTGGACATTCAGCTTCTACACAGAAGATAATTTTTGCTGTTGTGAAGACACAACTTGCTAACCTGAAATCTGCCTTTCTCTCATTAGTGCTGTGCACATCAGTATCATGCTCCTCCTCTTCACTTTTTTTCATTTAAATTTCATGTTATATCCTCAAGCAGGTGCTAGTTGGTTTCCACCAAGGGACATGAATGAATTTTACAATGATTTATGCAGTAAACAGGACGAGAAAATGCTTTGTGTGAGTAGCTAGAAAAAAACAAACGCACGCAAAATAAAACCAAAGATTTAAAAGCCAGCTATCATTGGTGTCAATATATGCCGAATATTAGGTGGAAAAGTGATCTTTTTCACAATACAGCTGGGTGTGCAAGCTCCAGAGGGGCTGGAGTGGCATCTGAATTTCAGGATGTGCTCAGCACAGTGCAGGTAGACTACACTGACCTTTACATGATTTGGATGCCTTTTCTACCACAACAGGCTGGATTTTCTTGTTTTCTTTCCATGAATAGAGCAGGTAATTATGGAATTCTATACGGTCTTTGTGCCATCTGCCACACTCCAATCTTACAGAGAAAACTCATGCCAAAGTGAAACATATAACCTGTATACACAAAATTAATCCTGACCCTGGTGTTCTCCCTTTCTGCTAACACTTCAGGATGGATGTAAATGAAAGATTGAAGTTTCTGAAGAGCCAAAGAATGCTCAAGCCCAAAAAAACACCAGGTTGGGCATCCTTCAGCAAGCTACAAAAAATAGGACTGGATTTCCGAACTTCTGATGCCATCTGGGGCTATCAATTTAATTAGCTTCTTCCATGTAGTTCAGCAAAATTAAGCATCAAGATATGAACATTGTTTTATGGCTCCAACTCTGTAGTAACCATGTTTACCTTTTCTCTCTGAATTGCTTTCTTTTTCAGAATTTCAGCTTCTTCAGCTGCCTTTTTTGCTTTTACATATTCTTCTCTCTTTTGCTGTAAAATATAAACATGGAAAATTATTTTACATATGTATGCATACAAAGAACAGATAAGGTAACTTGACTCCTGTACTGCACATTTTTCATACCCAAAGTGTGTTTGAGAAAAGTTTCCAGAATTTTCTTTTTAAATAAGGCACTGAATAAAGCAGGTTGTGCACAAGCTACTCCAGTATTGGCTTTCTGAAGACTAAGAAATTTAGGACTGATAAATGGGCGTCCATGCAAGGAATCACACAGCTGATTCATAACTTACAAGTATTTATACTTTTTATAACAGGAACAACATTTCTACATAAGCACTGGTTGGAGTGGTACATTGATCAGTTGAAGCCAGGCAGCATGCAAGAAAGTACAGTGAGGCATGTAAGTGGTTTTACAACTGTACTGGTTATCCTTTTAGATATGATCTGTGATATGGGATGCCACATATTTATAGCTAGATTTCTCATTTCCTTCGGTGCAGAACATTTGTTTCTAATTTTCTGCTGCTTCCTTCAGGATTCATCACTTTCTTTTGTCAAGCAGCTCTGAGTTCATCTTATAGCCATAAGAAACACGTAATGAAAGAATTTTTTTCATGTTCTTAAAATAAAAAAACAAACTTATTCTTCCTGACCTTTTGTTGGTATTTAGATTGCATGAGCATCATTTGCTGTTTTTGCCTTGCTTGATACTCTGATTCCTTTCCACCTATAAAAAAACCAAAACACCTATAAATTGCATTTTTCATGAGCATTTGAAGTTCAAATGGCAGACGTTTCAGAGCAAAGCAATATAACAGATTAGATGTATGCATATACAGGAAATTTTTCATAATTACAGTAGTTGTCTAACATTAAAGAGGACAGGAGACCTGTTTGATCATTTTATCCATCCCTCAAAAGCACAAGCTTGTTATTTACAGAACATCCCCTGTATCATGCACTCTACCAGCAAATATGCTCTGTAGTATATGATCAGTTTACCAAGGAACTATTCCATTTTCAGAAAATCAGTCACGCTTTGCAGGTGAGTCATTTTCAGATCCAGCTTTCACCTACTTTGCTCAGTTTGCCACACACCAACATACAGAGTCAGAAATTTTATTGTCAAAAATTTCCCTTTTATCAAATTTAGGAGCTTGGGGTCTGCAGCTTTAATGGGATGCTATCATTCGAATATCTTCTAAGTAACATCTTAGGGCTCAAGGAAGAATCTCCTTTCTGAAATGGAAATCAAAGCCTTTTCCCACAGACCTCATATTCATATCTAGGCAGCAGAAGGTGCCCTTTCCAAAGGCACAGGCTCTCTTTCGAGAACATTTAAAGCTTTGTCCATAATGTTCAGCCTTCAAATAAAAAAAAAAAACAAAATCAAACAACCAGCCCACAAGCAAAACAAACAGTATTCTGCTCTAGTATTTTCCAAAGTATTTTCTTTTTTTGGGAAAGCCAGTAATTCATTTTCTCAGTTGTTACAAAGCACGACAGCAGCCCCCACTCCATTCTGAGGATGAGGGATGTATTTGCGCACAGTTTTTTTCTGAGAAGTTCCCCAGTGACTGCTAATTCGGCAGAATCAGCTGGACTGATCTGTGCTACCTGAAGTGCCTGAAATGTAAGACAACTATATTAGACATTTGAAGAAGGATCACTCTTCACTAAAAGCAGCTTTCTATGCTTACTAATGGAAGGCAACTAATCTTTAGGTGCTTTTGTGATGTTCAGTGAATGGGAGATCAATTCCTTAAATGTGGCAACATTTCTATTCACACAAATAACTCCCTAAGATCAAGTTCTCAAGAAAGACTGCTCATACAGTATAAAAGCAACGAGTTTACAGTTGCAATAAGTACACAGATGGCATTGTAGTCTGTCTCCTCTGAAGGTCTAGGAAATAGAATTGCTGCTAAACAAGTTTTGATACCTTCTGAATGCTTGACTTTTTCCTTCTTTCTAGTTCTTTACTGGCAACTTTTGTTTGCTACACTTTTCTGCATGTACTGCTGGACATTGACTCTAAACAAGTATTTTTCTGATCATTACTAGCCACTACCTATAGCCTTTCAGTCAGGTTTAATTTATTCAAGCTAGCTTGGCCATAATGTGTCAAATGTTTCACAGAAGTCAGAGTATGCCATGACTTGCTTTATAGAATATGATCAAAAAAAGAGGCTCCAGTCATTGTTTATGGAGGAGGGTGGAACTTGCATCGTTCATTGTTCTCATCCTTCCATAGTACCTGAATGTTTGGCAGTCAAATATTACAGTTGAAAAACAGTATACTTATTTCCCTATGGAAAGCCTGACTGTTAAGAAACTTCAACTTTAAGAATTCTCTGGTGACTTACACTAGATGCGTAGTCTCTTAAAATCACTCTGAGAAAATAACGTAGGATACATTTTTACCTTAATGAATACCTACAGTTGTGAAATTAGAGATGTCACTTGTATTTTTTAATTCTTCCTTGAGCTCTCTTCTGTTCCAAATTTGTTCCTGTGGGAATTATGAGAGCTAATAATTTTTGCACCTTACCTCTTTCCAGAGGCATTGAACACAGTGCGTGTGTCTCAGTCTCCAGGAGTCGTTCTAAATGGCAGTTAGGCAGTGACTGAAGATCCTCACATAACCTTGAACTCTTTCGTCTTTTTCTGTTTTTTTTTCTTTCTCTTAATTTGCTTCTTTCCCGATAGAGTTTTTTTTAATGCAGTAGAACGAGAAGAAGTTAAGGTTCCCCACGTTCAGTCACTATGGGTTTACCACCACATCTCCAGTCACACAGCCAGCCTGCACACATTCTGCATGGACAGCACACGTCAACTTTCTGTTTTCAGATTTCACGTTAGTTAGCAAAAAGCTTTGTGATCCTCTCAGGACAGAAGCATGTCTTCTAGGATCTTCTCACTGTCGAGAAGCAGGTAGTATGTATGAACTCATGAAAACCATGTCTGGCCACACAACTGGGCACTGCAACAACCTGCAAATGTAGATTCACCACAGCAAGAAACTGGGAGCCAGCCTGCAGGGCAAAACAAACACGCAGGAGCAGTATCACCTTGACCACAAAAATGCCAAGTGTATGTCCCTTCAGAGACATAAACCTGGGTTGGAGTCAGTTCCTCCATCTCCCACCTGGTATCTGTTTTTCTACATATTACAACACCCCAAACTTAACCTGTGTAACATGGGAAAGAAAGAACTTTGTTCCTAGGTCAAGGGAGACAATGGCCTGTACTGTGCACCTCAAATTCTCCTATGACAGCCAAGAGAAGGAAGAGCAGTTCTAGATTTACAAAACTAATAAAGTCATCGTTATTATCATTCACTCTGTCAGAATGAATTTTGTCCCATTTCTTTTAGTGCAGCTCTTCAAGGTCATTGCATTTTTGCTGCGCAGTATCACCATCCTGTTCTATACAGATGATGTTTTCAAGTTTTGTCTTGTCAGCAAGTTTCTTCAGCTCTCTCGTACCTTTTGTGCCAAAGATATTAAAGGAAGATACTAAAACAAGATAGGTCTGAAGACTGGTACTTGAAATGCACTTCTAATAACCTTCCTCTTACTTGCAGTCTTATTCTATCTACAAGATTAGGGGTGGGTTGGCTGGGGTGTTTTTTGCCTTCTCTCTTTTTTAACTAACTCCCAAATTACACTAAATTTAAAATTTTCTAGTGGTTGCAACTGAAAAGATCTCCCATGTTTTCTCTTACCTGTCTAGGAAAAAAAGGGTACATTTAAACTGCAAATACCTGAAGCTGCAGGGATCACTTTTACCTCTTCAAGAGCCAGCAGTCAGGAAAGTACATGGGCTAGCTCCTAATACAGAAGAGTTTTCAGGAGACATTCAAAACACAGAGACATTAACCACAGACAATGTCACCAGTAGGAGGGATAATCCACCTGGTTTTCCCAAATGTTAATATAGATTATCTACACTGATCTTGACAGATTTCTTGAGTGACAATATATGCTTTTTTTTGTTTCAGAAGCATCTTTATTGCCATGACTCTCAAAATGCACAGAGCACATATGGTAGGCTTGTGTTAGCCCTTATTGACATTGAATCAGTTTAATAAGTAGTCTGTGAAAAAAAGGTGAAAAATTTCTCATCTCCTGGAAGATAAAATTTTGCAATTCATAACAGCTGATTTACATATCTTACCCAGTCTCTGTGGAACCAACTTAATTGGCCCTGGTCTGTGCTGTTTCTTCCATTGCTCCCGGTCATCCAGCTCTTTCTTAGCAACTGAGCAGGTGTAAAGAAGAAACAAACATATGGAAGTTAGAGGCAATAGTAGAAAGTAAAAGGTAGGCAGTATTGCTAATTGTATGTAACCCTGAAGACCCATCCAGGAACTGATAAGCTTGATATCAAGGGGTGCAGGCACCCCCCAGGAGGTCACACAGTCACTGCAATGATCAGCTAAGAAGGCAAACATTTCACGTAACTCAAAACTCTACGGTGAGCAAATCCTAGGATTCAATCCCAAAAGCAAAAAAAACCCTCCTAAGTGACTGCTAATAGACTGCTTTTTAACCCCTGGGAACATGTAGGTAAATGCCACAGTATTTACTCCTGCAGGTGAAGCAGAAGTTGTTACATTAAGATTTTATTGCTTCTTGGAGGGAAATGCTTGTGCTGTGATGCTCCTCAGCAGGGAAATGAGGAATAAGTAATTTTCCCTCCCAAACACATGTTTGCTAAATAAAAACAGAGGAATGCATGATTCAGCTTCAGATTAAGACAGTTCAATATAGGTGTCCACACATGAGACAGGTGGCAAGTTCCCATCGTAGCCAGTGGAAATCTAGTCAATACAGCACCAGCCATATGTTCTAGAATGGCTGGTTGATTAAACCGCTCTCTCAAATCAAATGGTGGAGAAAACCCAAAAATTCCTTTCAGTAGCAAGGCTCAAAAAGCCTATGGCAAGTTTTACAGTAGTACTTCAGCTCATTTCACTCTTACTAAACCCAACATGAACCATATTTTCTAGTGGGAGGCTATGGCTATCAGATGCTAAGAGCAGCTCTCTACTAACAAGATTAAACCAGTTTCTGGGCAAGTCTCTAAAGAGGCTCAAGAAGGCCCAAGATACATCAGCTTGTTATTTCACCTTTAAAACAAGCTCTTAGGTAGAGACTGGATTCGGTGAGGTCCTCATTCTGCCGGTATTCAAGGCAGAGACACCTGGCATGCTTCAGACCTTGGATACTGGAGGTACAAAACAGATCTTTATTAGAGCAGCACCACCTTTGCTATTAGTGTCAGAGTTAGCTTTACTAAGATCATCTGTTTTTACTCCCCCATCCAGAAGATTATGGGTTGGTTCAGAAATCCCTTTTCTTTCTTATAACTAAAGGAAACCCAACCCTACACCAGCCTGCTGGTGAAGCATTTCAGCCAAACTCACAATGTTTGAGAGGAAAGGATTTAATTGCACTGTTTACCTGAGGGCTCAAAATGTGAGGAGTGCTGACACACCTTTGGTTTTCATATCTTGCACAAATAAATAGCTGGAAGCATAGGACTGCAGTGCTTGGTCACCTCTGAATCCAGAATTTATTTCATGGCTGGCTCTTGCTGGCACTTTGCCAATGAAAGTTTTTTAACACATGCCTAATCTTTCTGGTATAAGTTCAGGGTGTTCCTGTTCAGCTAATTTCGCCAGCCAAGCAAAGGTGAACTTATATCCACAGATATTTTCCATCTAAAATGATCTTTTCCAGCTTCATTAAAGGAGCCACCTACAGTCCTGAAATGGAGATTCAGGAACCAAATGTAGTTCTAGTTGCTTTAGTCTCTACATGACAAACACTCAAAAACATTCCTTACTTACAGTTTTCTTCCTCCTACTAACCCAGAGAATGTCTGAAGTTGGCTTCTCCAATCTGAATTCAATCCTATAAAAGTCGGATAGAGCTAATTCCAGCTGAGTCTTATAAACTCAGCTTGAACAGCTCCAGAACTGAAATTACCAAAAACCTTTTCCTGAACAAGACTTTTTCTGCATGAAGTTTAGTCATATGAAAAGTTAATCTTAAGAAAAGCCTACACAATGATGCAGAATGCTCATAGGACTGACTGTACTGTCACAGTTACACACATAAAAGCACTCTAAGAATAAGAATAAAAGTTGCAAGGGTAATAAAGCACAAAAACCCCTATACTTGTTCAAGAAGAAATAATGTACTATCATATTAGAAAACTCAACTTACTTTGTTGCAACTGGTTTCTTCTGGTTTTGTTTGGAGTTACCAAGACATACGGGCCAACACTAAAATGAAAGAAAACACTCTATTTTTTCTGTCTAGAGAAAACCAAGACGAGAAGGGGGTTCCTTCATCAACAAGGTCAGCTTCCTGCTGTTGTAGCAAATAACTTCATATTAAAACTGGTATTTATTTTCACCCAGCTCTTCAGGGTTTTTCAGTTAATACTCTAGAAATATTTGGAGTTGGCTGCAAATACCAAGGATAACATTTTCAGAAACTTTTAGCGTAGCCTTCAGTTTTCTTATTCAAGTCTCACTCCAAACTGCCAACCTCAAAACTCAGACATTTCAAATAAAATCACTTCCTTGAATCAAAAACATTCCATGCAGCAGACAACTACTCCCACAGCTTGCTCAAGCACAGAGGAAGACCACTGTCTACTGGGAAAAACAATGGTGCTGGTAGTCCCAACCCATACCCCGAGGGCACCAATCACCTCACAGATTTAGGAAGCCTGCCCAAGAGTTGCCCAAGGAGTGTGCAAAATCATATAATTTATGATGGACCCAGGTGACTTGCTTTCAGCTGAAGCCTCAGTTTCCTCGTCAGCCTTGTGTGTGTCAGGCACTGAGAATTCTTTGGGCATATTTATCTTGCTGTCATGCCTAAGGTGCAACTCACTGAATCAGGTCAAAAGCCCTGTTTTGCTAGACTTAATTCAAAATGCAGTTGTTATCTCAAGGAGCTATCAATCTAACATGACAGTAACGAAGCAGGACAGGATTCAGAGTGTATGAGGGACTTGAGGTGATCAAAAGAGTGATGAAAACATGTCAGTTCCACTTGGAGAGAACAAAGGGGTTTATCTACGCAGTGTATTGCGTTATGAGTTTACACTGCTCCTGCTCAGCGGAAGCTGAGCCAGGGGGTACAGGTTTACCAGAAATGCACTAAGCAGCAGTTGGCTCCACATATTAAAATAAGCACTCGGCAGGGTTTTGTTTGCACATGTGGGCACAAATATTTCATCTGACTTAATTGTGGGGAAGGAAAAAAACAGAAAAAAAAAGAATAATGCGGGGTGAAGGCTGAGCCTCTTAAAATAAGGTAGGGCTGCAGGGAGTGGGTGGAGGACAAGCTGGGAAGCAGGGAGAACACAGCTGGCTGTGAAAAAATAGCGAGAGGAGGCCCGCCATCTTAGTGGCAAAAGAGGAATGAAAATCATGGGAAGAGATCAAAGTGCAAAAAAGCTGCCTGTTGCTGTATCACTCTAACTCAAGGTTTGAGAAGGCAAGTATTTATACTCAATTACCTCTTTCTCTTTGAAGACTTATTCTAGGAGGATGTGGATTAATTTATGAGATTAAACTAGTAAAGATAGAGCTGTGAGCTTTAATGGGGCCATTTAATATGATCCTTTCCCTTCCTGCCAGCCTACTCTGTTGCCCGTGAGACTGTTCTTCACCTTTCCACTAAATCCTAGACCCTCAAAGGCAGAACCTAAGAGAGCAGCAATGCAATCGTGGCACAACTATAACACTTCCTTAAAAGAAGTTTTGACAACTCATCTTGCTTATGGCCTAACATTGCCCATCACTGATTTTTTTTCAGATTTTTCTTTCTTTGACTGAGTAGCAGCATTTCCAGTTTATCCCAAACTGCCTTTGACAAGCTGCTGTACAGTTTGCCACTTTCAAGAATTTTTTTAGTAGTTTTCCTTGGATGACTTAGATATTAAGATCATATTTCTATCAAGTTCATACAGTTATTAGTTTATTAAGGTTGTTAAGTACTTTTTACACTCCCTTCCCTTTGCAAAAAATGGCTGGAATTGTGAGTTGCAAGACCCTGTATTTCCCACTCTCACCAAAAAAAGAAGTGTCTCTCAGATCCCACTGCTTCAATTCACTAGAGGGCAGAAGAGTTACTATATCATCTGATGTATTTGATGACTTCACGTTTTGGTTTTGTTTTAAATTAGGAACTGAAAGCATGGACCACTGCATGTCTGCACATGTATGAGAAATCAAAATATCAAAACCAGCCCTTCTGATGTGAATAATTTCCTTCGCTTCCTTCTGCTCTTCAGCTGGACAGCTTTGAGTCTGCGATGCCAGGAGGAGTCCACACTCCTGACAACTGACCATGGTCATTATCCAGAAGGTCAGAAGGAAAGCACATGAAATACAGTGAAGGTCATTCAGTTTATAAGAGGTAGAGGTGACACAGCACCTCCTATGTCAGGGAAAACTCTGTTCTGTTTTCCAAAAAGCAGTTTAAGAGTCACTGCGCTTAAAAGAGTCCTTACTTTAAGGCAATTTGGTTTTCATGTTATTGCAATAAAGAAAGAGAAAGTTAAAATAAAATGAGGATGTCAAGTCTGCAGCGAGGAGGGAAAGAAAGAACAGGATTGCAGTTGTCTTCTACCTGATGCTTATACTACATGCCTGGTTTTCATGCAAGTTAACATACTCCCCCCAAAAAAATTTGATAGTGTTCACCTTGGTGTCTGAAAAGACAGTAACATGTAACAGTGTAGCTTTGGGTACTGGGATCAGGGAGGAGGAAGAGTGAGCATGTGGTAAACCACTTGTGGGGTGGGTCAGGATATGAACAGTGGGAGAGGGGCCAGATGAGCTGTTGCCTGAGACTTACCTGCCCTACCAGTTCCAAGGCTATAACTAAAATCTGCACCTAGCACTCCTTGTTTCCTTGAGTTTGTTTTTTTTGAAGGAAAGGAAGTTAATGCAAAAACCCACCACCAGCTTTCATCTTGTCCTTTTAGCCAGCTTGCAGGATACTGCATGTCATTTCTTTGTTCAGACAAAACCTCCGATCCAGTAAAGCCTATAAAACCCACTACAGCCTGTCAATTTAATATTCCAGTCAGTTTCTGAGTTGCCACAGTAGCCGTAAGTCTGGAGCAAATTATCCTACTTACCTGGGTAGCAATTAAGGAAACGTGAAGATTTGAAGCTATCAGCGGTATGCAGACTTTTTGTACTTTACACCAGTATACGAAGTACTTCAAAATCCACAGCCAGAAAAGATGATAAAGAATTTAACTTTATAGGTCCCCTAATAATGATTCTTATTGTTATATGACTTAAGCCTGTCTTTCAGATAGGGTTGTTTTATAAATAAAAATACAGAAGTCACTGGAGGGATGTGTGGGGGAACATCTTACCCAGGTTATAGCTCTTCAAAAAAGAGAAACAATTTGTCTTCTACCTTTATAGATCATATTAATCTTGATGAGACCTTTTTTGGTTTATTTTCTCCACAGAAAATTGGAATGTATTGACTAATTACAGAGACTGAACAGATATTAATGAGAGTAAGAAAGTTATAACCCAGTAAAAGAATGTAACTGTATTGAAATAAAACCAAAAAGCAACCTATGATTTTTCATACAGATAGACATTAAATACCGAAGTAGTGGGAAGATAAATACCTATATGACAATGCAAATAATAGGTAGATATAGAAACATTTCAAACAGGAGAAACATGCAATTCAGTCATAGGAAACCTGCAAAGATAGCTTACAGTTTGAGTGATCAGCAATACAGAGAATGCCATGTCTGCAGTCTTAAATTCTGAATCCTGTGCATAACTCTACTCATCCAACTAACACTACTCAATGACACTTCTATGCTTTCAGTTATAGATCAGAAGAATCTTTCTTGTACTTTCTTTCAGGTTGCTAAAAAAAAGTTTATTTCTCAAACTGAAAAAAACCATAAGAACTGCCTTTCACCAACAATGTTTTTTGCAGGGCTCTGCCCTTCAGTTTTCCCTCAAGCTGGCACCAGCCATCTACCACAGGGGAGCTTTCCAAATGAAGTGTGAAATAGTTTAAAGAGTTAGAAAAGTAATGGCTATTATAAACTATTTCCACTTACACTGTTTTATACTGTGGGTGCATCAGTACATGAATGCCATAAAGCTGAAAGCCAAGTATTTTGCTCTGGTGGGCAATGTGCTTTGTATAAGAGACAAGAAAACAAGGAGACGGTAGATGGAAAGGAACACAAATGACCACAGCTTGGGAAAATAAAAAGGGGCAGGTTCACTCTGGATGGCACAGATTAGAAAGATATGGAGGGATCAATCCTGGTGCAGTGCCATGCCACCCTTTTGCATCCCCAGGGAATCTGGAGCTGGAGAATTTGTGGCTTGCTAAAGCCTATCCCTAAACCTAATATCAGAATTGCATTGATACTTATATTCCTATTGCCACTGAAGGCCCAGAATAGAAGGATGTGCGGGGAGCAAAGTTAATGCAGAGTGGTGCTCATCTTTGCATGTCTTCAGCAAGACCAGAAACTTTGGAGTGTAGGTTTGAGGTTCTGAGAACCCTAACACCTAATATCAGATTTGACTTGAGGTTCATGTCAATTCAAATGGGTGGGACAGATTAGAAAGTTGGGGAGGGATCTTGGTTGGTGGAGTATCATGCTATATATAATATGCCTTTTCCATCACCAGTGTCATTGGAGCTGGAGGCTTTCTGCACTTCTGAACTGTAATGCTAACCTTAACATTAGATTTTAATTGCAGTTGATAAACAAGAACCATAGGTGGCTTAGATTAGAAAGTTGGGGAGGCATCAATGCTCTACTTGGCATGGCTTTTGCATCCCCAGTACCCTTGGAGCTGGAGACTTTGTGCTTCTCTGAACCCTAATTCCAACCATAATATTAGATTTTTTTTTCCCCTAATCATCCGACCTCCATGGCTGGTCCAGATTAAAAAGTCGTGGGGGAATCAATGTTGGTGAAGTGCCATGCTTTCCTTGACATGGCGTCTGAATACCCAGCGTTCTTGAAGCTGTAGGCTTTGTGGCTGTCTGAACTCTAACCCTAACTCTAAAATCAGACTTGCGGTTATGCAAAACTCCTTGGGTGGCCGAGATTAGAGAGCTGCGTAAAGGCTAATGTTGGTGGAGTGCCATGCTCTACATGGCATAGCGTTTGAATTTCCAATGTCCCTGGAGCTGGAGGCTGTGTGGTTGTCTGAACCCTAACCCTATCCCTAAAATCACATTTGCGATGCTGCTG